TAAATATTTATTAACCATTCCTACAACGTCACGTACTGCCGAAAAGTCATGAGTAAAATTAAATTAATTAAAACAAGACTTCGTAGTACCATGAAAGATTCATTTCTCAATAATTTAACCATATTATCAATGGAAAAAAATTTATTTAAACAATTAAATATTGATGAAATTATAAATTCTTTCGCTTTCTCTTTCCCTAATTTATCTAAATTACTAATTTAAAAATAATATTTATAAAGTATATATTTTTTGCATTTTATTTATATATATTAAAAATTGATGCAAAAAAATTATTTTTGAAATTTATGGGTGTCAAAAAATAATTATCATTTTTTCGAGAGGGGGGGGGTACTTTTCAGGGGGGTATTCTGCTTCATTCGCTCAGAAAGTGTAGGAGCCACTGAGTTTATAACCAGACTATATATAAATAAATTATGCTTGTGTGTATATTTGTATTATTAGTGCAGTCAACATTGAAATATATTTAATTTGATACAAATGAAAATGGGATATGAATATTTCAAATGGTATGGTGATCTAAATTGTTTCCGTGATTATAAATAATTGTTGATATTGAATAAATATATATGTTCATACTGATTAAAGCTATATAATTTGAATGAAATTACAGAAGAATGAAGTATATTCACAATATAATCATTAAACATGAGAATAAAAATTTAAATTATAATTATTGATGGTTGAATAATGTTTAAATTTAGCTACCTAACCATTTATGGAGATATTATCATTATCCTTTTGTATATATATTATTCTGTGAATACATATTTACTATGCTATGTATTATGAATAAAACGAAAGAATCAATATAACAATTTATTAAATTGATAACCAATTTCGTTCATTTTAAATAATGATAATTATTGTTTTTATTAAAGTTAACCCACCTATCCAAAATATTTTCTACCTACATTTAGTTAATTTTTCAACTTTAAACCATTTTTTAAGCTATCTTTTAAAATTTTAAAATCTAATTTTACCAGAAATGTGTTCTATCATGATTGGAATACATATCCTATGAATTTCAGATAATTTGCCATGAAATTTTGAACTTAATTTAATTGATATTAGTTTATCCATAATTTTTTATTTAAATTATAAATTCTTAAAGGTTTACGGCAAAATTATTGTTTAACTTGGAATTATCTGATATATTAAATATGCATAAATAAAATAGTTACCAGCATAAAAATTCGTAGAAGGGGAAAGCGTATAATTTTTGTCAATAAACATTGAAGGCGAACGGGTTTAGAGTTTACCACTACTTAAGCCAACTTGGTGGTTCTGTTCTGGGGGGGGGGGGGGGGTGAAAGGTGATATATAGTAAATTGAACCCGACTACGTGATTCCATTAATATATTAAAAAAATAAATACGTCATATTACATTTTTAAAAAAATTGTCGTTGTTTAGTAATTGCTTTGGAGCAAGTCTAATCATCCTTCAAAAGCCCTACCATGGCATCCGTCTAATCAAAATATAGGGAATTCTAAGAAATATTTTCTCCAAAATCATATTCACTCTTATGAAAGATTCTTTATTAAATCTCCTATCACCAAATTAGGCTTCAGAATGGCTTGAAGCAACAAGCCATTCTGCAAGAATCACCTTAGAGAACTTGCCATACAAGTACTTATGTATCAAGTAAGATATAACTAATGCGTTTAACAAATTGAATCATCAAACAATAATGCAAAACTTTTTAGACAAATACTCAGATTATTATAATTACATACAATCAAGCTATGGCTCACTATCCATCCTACTTTTCAAAAAACGATCAATAATACCCGCTCTGGGGCTTACACAGTAGTATTCTTTAGGACCTCTATTCTGTCTAGCTATAAATAAAGTGATTCGAGATATTAATAATAATACTGGCCTAAACTTCAATGTCTGGTATTTAGATGATACAACTATTTTTGGCTCTTTTAACGATATTAATAAAGCATTAAAGATTATCATTTAAATTTTCATGTTTTTAACTTATCAAAAATTTTTAAAATACGAAATTTATTAACAACTCAATTTTCATCATCCATTTTAGAGAAATTTACTAACATGATTATAAAGAAATTTGCAAGGATCTCCAAGAAGAGGTTCCAGTCAGCATATAAGATACAAAATTTCTTGGATAAAATTTTCCCAATCTAATCTCAAAGGAAAATATTTTTTAAACACATGCTTTCACACTAGGCGTCTTACTAAATTAAAATATTTTTACTATTCCCCAATTCTTCTAAATTATGAAATTAAAATTAAATCTATACAGGAGAACGTCATTAATCTCAAATTTTATTAGAACACCTGGTTAAAAATTATTTTTTTGATTAAATCAGGCCAGCTAGGTCTATGCGCTCGTTATCCAAAGGATTACAAATATTACAAAAGTATTCGATTATCCAATTTTCAACTTATAAAAGAGGAATGAAGCTATACTGTTATTAACTCTAGCAGCTCACCAACCTACGTTCTTTAGTATTGAATAATACTGGTCATGAAGGGTTAAAAGTATATCTAGTAATTTAAACCAATTCCTTTTGACAAATTTTGATAGGCAGTAGCTACCCTGCTAGGGAACATTATAATCGAACTTATAACTGTCAAAGATGTTGAATAATTATTGATTCTAAAGGAAGACATCCACTTCATTGCCTAAAACAGATATAAATATATATGGCACAGAAATAAAATTATATCATCCAAAGTTGATTGTTCAAAGCAGCTATTCTTTCAAATCTCGAACCTCGAGAATAGATTCCTGATAAATATTTACACCTAGCAGACAACAATTTATTCATATCCATCGTAATATAGGCAAACTGTTCAATTGGAAATGAGGCGAAATCCCGAATCAAACCAATCATTCAAAAGAGCCCTAAAACAACAATTTCAAAGGGGTTTTTTGATCAAACAAAAAATCCGCTATGTCATATTTCTTTATTACAATACTTATAAAAAACGAATTAAAATATAATGAAGTAAAAAAAAATTAGAAAAACATAATTGGGTTCCTTAAAAAACATTAATTGTATTAAAAAATTCTTTATATATTTTCTGCCTTAACGGACAGTTCGTATTCATCACCTTCAATTTTATTTAAATTAGCATAAAAAATAAATTACAAATAATTAAACCCATAAAATTCTTATTACTTAGGAGATACAATTATTAACCATTTTTAGAGATTCATTCATTCTTTTTTATACTTTGTTTTTATGTGAATTTGATTTGTTATAAAATAATATTATATTTATTTTGTTTATTCCCATTTCCATTTTTTTTAGTTTGGTGTATCACCTTTTCTTTTGTCACTTTTAATTTTCTCATTTACTATCTTGGATATAAAATAGAGCCATATTTTAAAAAAATATGGTGTAACTCCGTTCAACCCGACTTTACCCATGACAAAATTGGCTTCCCCTCAGGGCTCAACTATGTAAGAAGGCTTACAATTTATTTAAATAAAATGGACAAATTATAATACCAGAATATATTTTACTTTACTATAATACTTATATTAGTTATAAATGGTCGATATCAATATGCAAAATTATTGGTGTAAGAAGTGGCGTATCTGGGATTTTACTTTGGGAGGGAGTCAATTTTTTTACAAAAAGAGTTAAATTAGTAACATCCAGTATATTCATAATTTTGAGACAAAGAATTTGATAAATGTTATTTTTATGGGCAAAAAGGATATTACAAAATAAAATTATTGTTAAATGCATTTATTTTTTTCTTTCTCAATGTTTTTTTTTACTTTTGATTCGATGTTTTATGGTTCAGATAACATATTTAATTTCATTTATAGATAAGTCTTTTTTTTTACTAATTTTCAAAATTTCGATTTTAAATAATATTGGCTGTATTTTGTAAATTGTTTTAAATGGAAAATAAAAATATGACTATTAAAGGAATATTAAATGATCCATTATATAATTTTACAACTTTAATGGATATAATTTAAATTTATAGTCAGCTGGACAGGGTTATGTAGCCAAATTATTTTTAGGTTTGTAATTTTTTAAAATCCAGGCCAGGGTTTTTCTTATACTCTTTTAAGACTCACTCCAAGACGGATTCTGGGCTTATAGTTTAGAATCTTTGCTTGATAAACAATATATCGAAGGTTCATTTTAAAATAGTTAAAAGTTTTAATATTAAACCCGAGTCGTTTTGATATTTTTTAAAAAAATTTAAGTTTCTCATACTTGCAGGGCTCTATTGTATAGTTTTGATTTTAAATATATTCGTTAATTTTTTTTATTTTACAGTCAAGAATAAAATATATGCTAATCATGTCATTTTTCTTTACGAAAGGAAAAACATTTTGAAAATTGAAAAAAGCGTTTATATTCTAATGTCTTATGGGAGAAAATTCAATTATTTTATTTTCTCTCAATAAGGTAATTTTTATATAAATGGTTTATTTCATATTTTAAATTTATAGAAATCCAACTCAGTAATATAAATTAAAATAAATGACTACACGGGAGTTATGTTGCAAATGAAATTTCGTGAGAAATATATTGTTAGTCCAAATTTCATGGCTATTTTTTATAGTTTTTGTAATATTGATAATTATAACCAAATTAAGCAAAATAATTTATATGTCTAATTAGGTTCAAATAATATATATACCGTAAATGGATTATTTCTTAGTTAAGGCAAGTATTTCAATCACCTAAGGATTTTCCTATCAAATATAAACTATAATAATGCATTTAAAATTAATGAGTTATTATTATTTTGCCTTTATCACATTTTTTTTTTATTGATTTTTTTTAAAAACTTCATTATCACAATTTGAAATCGCTGTCGTTATATGCTAATGTAGTAGGATACAAAACACATTAATAATTATTTTGCTTAAAATGTTTTTAATGTAATATTGGTAATAAATATAATAAATAGAAAGGAACATTTTCTATATGTTAATAAATTCTAATAAATTTATCAAATATAATTTATACTAAGGATCGGCTACGAGTTTCCCATGTTTTGCGGCTTCCTCATCATGTTCCTATCGACACTAAGTATATGAAAATTAAACTTTATCAAATAATCACTTATTTTTTTGTTTATAACGTAGTGGGAAGGATAATTAAAATTTGTATTTTATTATATAAATTTTGGTAAAGAGGTAAAAATTTCATTTTTTAAGAATAATAAGGAATTTTCTAGTATTATGGATTTGAGAATTGGCAAAAATATCGTCTTTTGAACTAAATCCGTTTTTTCCCTTAACTCTGAACAAATAAAAAGCGAATATAATAGAAGCACTCAGTATTAAGCAGACGATGCAAAAATAGTCATAATTTTAGACTACACAAATAATATGTAAAAAAACAGTAAAGTTATGCAAATCACAGAAAGGCACGCATAATTGACGCAAAATCCCAGAAAAGTACGGAAAATGGCGCGAAATATGTAAAAACACAAATGATAAAAAATCACAGATAAGCAAGTAAAATAAAATCCTGCTAAATGACATAAGATCACATATAGGCAGGCAAAATGATGCAAAACTTTATAATAAAATGAATTCTAAAACAATTGATATTTTATTTTATATATTTTTTGATATAATTTCAATGATAAATTTCACTAATAATTATCGTCATTTAAAATATTTTTGGCGAAAATAGTTAAAAATGAGTATATAAAATATATTTTGGTTTGATTAAGTTACCATTGTTACAAATGTCATTTTAAGAGATTTAAAAACTATATTTTTTAAGTAGTTATAAAATGGATATTTTGAATAAATTTGGCATTTCATTCAGTGACAATGATGATACATATAAAATACCGAGTTGTCCAACATTGACTTTGATATTAACTACAACAACCTATTTTCTTCGTGAATTGGGTCGACTGCAACAGGTTTAATATATTTTAAAAATTCGTTGTTTTTGAAAAGCGAGTCCTAGTTCGTATACAGAAAAATTGAGGGTGCGTCCTACGGAGTATGATTTATAGTAGATTGAAAACGGTAGAGATTTATTGCATTTTGGTCAATGTTTAGCAAATTTGGTTGTTTTAGATATGCTGACTTGGTAGTAAATAACATTAACCAAGATAATATATTTCACACAGATGACAATTGACATAATCATCATTTAAATCTTTTTATGGATTTTTTTAATATGTAATTTACATAGGTAACATTTATATTATTCATAAATATTTAAATATAATATTTTAATTATATTTTGGTATATTTCAGATAATGTAGTTTATAATTTTTAAAAAGTTTTTTTAACTAAAATAGTTAAATAGAACATTTCAAATATACATTATGTTCCATTTGAACTGATACTTTTTTTGTTTTAGCAAAATATATGTCAATTCTAAAGTGATTCTATTATAATTTTATAGCTTGAAAGTAGGTTACCTTATAAATGTTTTTTCCAAATCTCATAAAATCTATCAACAGGATGACTCAAAATTATCCACATTCAAACTTGGCTAACAAAAATCGAACTTTTTAACATTTAAAAATTAATTTTTTTATTAAACTTTACAATTCGACAAAATTATTATAACACCAACATTTAAAATGAATTTGAGTCAAATTTTAAACTAGCTATCGATTAGCTGCAACTTGTTTTTTACTTATTGTAACTGCAACGTACCCCTCAGTTTGCAGATTTACTGGTGTAATTACTGTAAATTATTTTCATCCGTGAACATATGAAATGAACTAACCTCTGAGGGTATTTTCGTGGAAGTTGTTAGGTACGACCAGACAGGCATTTTATTCGCATCGGTTTAATCCATGGATTGTTTCTTTTTTAAAGATTCTATGCAACATACCAATTTCTTGGGATACTAGACGAATGATATATGGGTGTCAAGTCGGTCTTTTTGGCTCAATACTAGTGTTCCAACAGAATTAACATATTTTCCATAGTATGAGCTGTCTGTGGTCTACCACCACCATACCGTTTTCCCTTGATTCGGTAGCATCAATCAATCGATTCAAGGCTGCGATAGACCAGTTTCTGTTAGGAGATTTCTACAAAGATCTTTTGGCTCCGCAATATTTTTCTTGTCTTAAAATTTTAATCGAAAATTTTATTATCATATGTTCATTTTATAATTCTCTTCGGGCTATTAAATTTTATTAAATAATAATAATTTTAACACGGAAAATCATAATTTAAATAAAGATTATAATTATAAATTAATATAATAATAATAATTTAAGAGCGAAAATTTGTGAATTCTTCATATAACAAGTTAGCTTTTTGTGCCCTCATCTTTATTCACGTTTTTGTTTTTATCATTAATTCTTGCTGTCTTTTATCGCTTGAGATCCAAGTTCGTTTTTAGCGCCAACGTTATAATTGGGAGCAAAATAGCCTAAGCCTATCCTATGCACAGAGGTTTCGATTATTGAAAGTATAAAGCTGAGATGATTACACTTTATTATGCTTAGGGCCAATCTTTGAAGTAGTATCTCTAATTGAGATCCTCGGTCCTAGTAGAGATCCGTGTCCCAACTCTTTAAAAGGCCAGAGCATGAGATACAAACGATTTTAAAGTCATGGCGATTTATGGTGGGAATTTATATTTAGCGAGTTTATTTACCTTAGCGTCAGTGCAACATCCCTATTTATATTGGAAGGGGCAAGAGGATCAATGTGTGAGAAATCCCTAGTTATGAATCCTCCCCTATTCCAAGGGTTCTTGGTAGAACCATCAGGCCGTTTACCATCGGAATAGTAAAGGCCAGTGGGCTCTGAGGTTGATGGGATGCCAGCAGATTTCTAGGCTCTGACAATAGTATCGTTGCATCCAGAGCCGTAGCCACGGGGGCGGGGAAAAAAATGGCACCCATAAATTTTTCCGGCCCTCCAAATTTTAAAAAAAATTTTGTAATTGATTATTTTTATATTTTTTAAAAAATTTTAAATTTATTCAATAAACGTGTCTTGTTTGTAAATTTCTTCCTATCCTGTTTTATTTTTATCCAATAATAAATCATCATTCATTCATATTTTATCATTTTCATGTGTGTTTGTGTATAACATTATATAGGCGCTTAATTATAACGTTTAAATTGTGTTTATTTCAATGATAATTATTTATTTATTGTGGTTCAATCACAATATTATTATCTTTTGAAGGTCTCTGATATAGATCTGGGTACAAATCGTAAAAAACTGGGATTTTTTGCAGCTAATCAAGTGATTACTCAAGGATTGATATATATATATATCAAATCTAAGGAAACAGATTGATACCGATTCGTAAATATTTATTAAAATAAAAAAGGTTCTTATTAAATTTTTATAAAATTTGGTAATTATTGTGCAGTATTGCTAAACAGCTCGATTTGGCCCGATTTTTAAAAATGGTCCGATTAAGATCTTAGACAAAATAATATTATCTAAGCCCGATATAACCAGTTATTTAAAACAGCGGTGAATATTTTAGCATTATAAGGAAAATAGTGAGATAACATCAATTTTGGTAAGCCAACAAATTAACCGTAATCTTTACGATCTTAAATCAAGATTTGATGATATTTCTTAACATAAAGGAGCTACCTTTCCGTGGGACTGGTTCAAGAAAAATTACGGATGCTGCAAATGTAGAAAACATAATTTATTCTTTCTGGACTATTTATAGCAATGTTTTCATACACCATCCAAAATGATCCTGAATTAAATAAAATTACGAAATTTATGTACAAAAATACGCAATATACATCACCCAGATTCAAAACGAAGTAATATCTATTATGGTAGATATGGTGCTTGATTATATTGCAAATAAATATAACAAAAGTGAGATGCCTATGGATGATGTGACAAAAGATGCATCAGGTTGTGAAAACCTGAGCATAATTATTTATACTTTTTTTGGAGAAGTCCAAGAAAATTTAATAGGGATTATTAATTTACAGTGTCTTTCTGCTGAAAGCTTTACTAATAGCATTTTAAAGCAACTTAATGAATTAAATATTAATTCAACGAATATGATAAACCAGGCATATGATGGTGCAAACGTTATGTCTGTCCGAAATGGAGGAGTGCAAACCCTACTTCAAAAAAAAATTAATAAAAAGGTTCTTTTTATACATTGCTACAACCATATGTTGCATCTTGTGGCTCAAAATGGGTATAATAATATAGTTATCATTTCTAATTTTTTTAATTTATTCAATGCATTGCCATTTTTAGGCGGTTTAACGTATCCTGTAAATATGCAGGCCATCTCTTAAGAGACTTTTAGACCAGAGGTGGACTGGTCATTTAGAAACATCTTGCATCATTTATGTTAATTTTGAGGCTATTGGTTAAGTATTACTTTTCTAATGGAACTAATTCAGAGGTTTCCTGATTTTGTCGAAGCCTCTGGTCTTTTATCTCAATACGTTAATATAAATTACGCTATATTAGCCATTATAATTTATGAGATATTAATAACAATAGATCCACTATATAAGTATCTACAGTCAGTAGGTACTTACAGTGGCCCCTACACTTTCTGAGCGAATGAAGCAGAATACCCCCCTGAAAAGTACACCCCCCCCCTCAAAAAAATGATAATTATTTTATGACACCCATAAATTTCAAAAATAATTTTTTTGTATCAATTTTTAATATATATAAATAAAATGCAAAAAATATATACTTTATAAATATTATTTTTAAATTAGTAATTTAGATAAATTAGGGAAAGAGAAAGCGAAAGAATTTATAATTTCATCAATATTTAATTGTTTAAATAAATTTTTTTCCATTGATAATATGGTTAAATTATTGAGAAATGAATCTTTCATGGTACTACGAAGTCTTGTTTTAATTAATTTAATTTTACTCATGACTTTTCGGCAGTACGTGAGGTTGTAGGAATGGTTAATAAATATTTATATAAAATTCTTAAATTAGGGAAAGCAGAAAAATTTAAAAGTAGACGACAATGTAAAATAAATAAATAGTTTTTCCAATCTGAATCGTAAGTCCCTGATTTATCATCATCATCAGAAGAAGCTAAATAATGTATTGGTAAAAATATTTTA